CTTGCTTATTCAGCAAGTCAGGCAGCAATTAATTAAATCAAGTCAGGCAGCAATCAGTCAGTTAAATCGGGTAACAATGACTCAATTAAGTTGAACTGGGAAACAATGAATTTATTACATCAAACCAGGGAACAATGAACCAATTAAATCAGCTGGAAGCCTCCATGAGTCCTTCCAGAGCCTGGGCTAGGTGCCACCGGGGTGGAACTCGCTGCAGCCGCCTGCTCCAGGAGAAACATCACCACAGCAACTGAGCATCGCTGCTGACAGCCTTGTTTGTCCCCTCTGCCCAGAGCGAAGAAGGACACGGCAGTCTACAGCCAGTCTGATTAAATACTTGTAATAAATCAAAGGGGTGGGGAGATGGAAACTGTCAGCTTTCGAATTAGCAATGGTGTTGCAGAAATTACTGGGCAGCCCAAGGATGAAGAAAGGTCTGCCTTTCAAATCAGGCTGATGCTGGATATTCAGAGCTGTCAGCTTAAGAAATTGAGAGGCTTTGATGAGTGCCTGATGATGATTTAGTCTATCCTAACAAGCTTGCAGGAGAGGTACACTTTCCTGGAAAAGCATGGTTATGTAGTAAAACAGCTGCCCATGCCCATTTTGATGTAAAAAGCGTAAATTATATGGATTGGTGTGAGTCAGTCTGATCATGTACTGGCAGTACTAAGAACTGTTTTCATCCTCTTGTTGGTTCCCCATATCCTTTGGGATCGAGGTGGCTTGTTTTGGATTTGGGTGTTTTTTGGTWTTTTTTTCCTTTCCTGTTCCTTCTTCTATCTCCACAAGCAGGGGACATCACTAAGATTACTGAGTTACCTTAGCAGGAAAGCACCCAGTATGTTTTTCTTGGGATATTTCATGCATATCAATTAACTGAAAATAAAAGAGGGAAGGTCTCGTTGATGAGGACAACCTCATCAGAAAGGTGAGGGAGACAGCCATCTACCCATTATTCAAAGGAAATGCAATCCTAATTGTTCTCTAAGGGCACCTGTAAGGCCCTTGCAGGTAAAATAAAAATGTACTGCTTTTCAAGGCAGTACAAACACTTGAGGTGCTGCGATGGKTAATAAACAGGGATATTACATGGGCAACCTTTATCATACTACACATTGTCATTAAAGTAATTATATTGAAAAGAAAATTACTCTTGGAGAGTTATTTCTGGCTAGATGAGGTTGGGGGATTTGCCCAGCATGTGTAAATCAGGGCCAACACAATCCCTGTAGCAATGCTGACCAGTAAATTAAACTGAAAATAAAAGCTGAAGAACAGCTTCTTGAGCAGCATTCAAGGATGGAGCTTGGTGTGAGACCTAGTATATATTATCAGTACCATATGTATCCCTGTCGTCCCCTAACAAATGCGCCACAGGACAGCATGACACACTGGCATCATGGTTTCATGCTGAAGGACTGGACTTAATATTCTTTTCCCTGTTCTGAACTGCTAAATAGTCAAAAGGCAAAAAGAGTCTAATTAGAGATGTGAAGGTTTGGAAAGTAACCAGAAATTTTCAAGAAAAAAAACCTCCTGCTTCCAGTCTGCACCACAGTGTTTGAGCAGCCGTCTGCCACGGAAAAATGGAAAAGAAACTTCCTGAGGTTTGTTTTTTCTCCTCCTCTTTTATCCCTTCTGAATAATATTAAGACCAAACAGTTGGACTTTTACAAATCTTCAGTCTAATGAAGTACATAAAAATTAGGTTAAAGTTTCAGTCAACAGTTCTAGTCATTTCAGACTGTGGTTTATTAGTGCTCAGAAGAAACACTTGACCTATGCCAATATTTCAAAAAGCATAATTTAAATGCTCTACAGGACAGTCAATGATTGTGATTATGACCTTGACTGTGATCATGACTTTCTAGATGATGACATGCACTATCAAAGAGATCTTATCCCAAATTTGAGCTTTATATCTACAGCTACTCTTGGKCAATAGGATGTTGTGACAACTGTCTCTATTAAAAAAAAATTCAATCTGATTATCTTGCGAGGCATCTAGTGACACAAAACTTCTGAACCCTGTGACTAATTTTCCTCTTTGTTTATTTGTCAGTAATGGATGTGATTTATGTTTATCCATCCCTTTCTTTTCACTTTACCTTAAAATTAAGTCAATGAGCAAAACATAGTTATATGTGTTTTAGTGCACAGCTGCAGCTATTGCAGGAGAAAGGGCTGTCATAATTCAAGTTCTCAATTCACATTTATTTCTTTCACAGTTTTATCAAACAGCAATTTTTATAYGCTAGCTAAATAAAACATTCCTCATCTGTAAAGGAGTAAGTACAATTTAACTCTGTTCAYTAAGTGGCCAATGACTAACTATATTTCATTTTACCCACATAAAGATGAAACACTGTGATTAAGACTAGGACTTCCAGTTCTTAAATTTCCAGAACTGACACATGTCTCATTCTTTCTATCTGGTGTCCCTTGCATCATCATTGATAATCAAAGAGGGTGTTGATGCTACTGGGCCAGAGAAATAGCATTCAACACATGACAGATGAAAAAATTACCCAGTAGAGGAGAACCTGGGCTGTTTCTCCCCACTRCTCATTCCCCTGGTGCCCCGTGGCCAATGTGGTCACATCTAGGGAATAGATAGTTTGATCCTATCTAATTTTTGAAACACAGAACACCACTTAAGACKTTTTCTCTGCTGCCAGAACTGGATGCTTCTGCCTTGGGAGAAGCACCAGGTGTTGGCCTCCAACCGTAACTTTCCCAAAGACAGTGCAGTGAAGACCTCATGCAAGGCAGCTCAGAGAACTCCACACCTCTGCTCATGGCTTACATCCATTAGGTAATTTCACACTGAGACCCACACAGTCTTGTTTCCACTAGYTTTTCATGGAAAAGACCTCCAAAATCAGCAAGTCAACWAAACTATAGCACAAAGTGCTAMGTCCAGTTGTTTCTTGAACAMTTTYAGGGACTGTGACCYCAACAGCTCCCTGGRCAGCCCATCCCAATGCCTGGCCACCCTTTCAGAGAAGAAATTCTTCCTGATGCCCAACCTGAACTTCCCCTGGTACAGCTTGAGGCTTTTTCCTTGCCTCCTGTCATTAGGCTGGGAGGAGAGGCCCACCCCACCTCACCACACCCTCCTTTCAGGCAGTTGTACAGAGGCTCCCCTGAGCCTCCTTTTCTCCAGGCTAAACACACCCAGGTCCCTCAAGTTRCTTCTGAAAGGACTTACAATTTTGATTTATATTTTCATAGTATTTCTCTTACTGAAAAAAAAAAACCAAAACCCAAAACTTTTTTTGGTGGCAAACACAGCCTTGAAAAAACAGCACAAAACTTAAAATTCTCTGCTGCAGCTAAATATACCCAATGTTTAAAGTATTTTGACCYTGGAATGGCACATTTCACTTTTTCAAGGTCATGGAATCAAGCTGGAAAGTGACTGGAGAGAGAAAAACACATATTTCCTGATGTCTCTTCTAAAGCTTTTCTTCCTTTAGGAGATGGACTTTCCCTTTTGCAAAGCTCAGCTGCATGGCCTGGACAGAGCCACCTCCCTTCCTCACACACGCCATACATATGAACCTTGAACGTCATCTGGGCACACAACTCCCACAGATGTCAGTGAGCACAGGTAAACTCAGGCCTCAAGTATTTATTGCATGTCTAGGTCAGCATCACATCACATACCTTGGGCCTGGTCCTACAGCTGCTGCAGTGAACCAGTTCCCCTGGATTACCCCTGGATAGGGTATAACTAATGAATGGTCCCAGAGCTGATCCAGCTTTGACCTACAGGTTGGATTAAATGCCTCCTCAGATCTTTTTTAAACATGACTTTTCCTGTGGTCCTAACATACAGATTCCATGGATCTAACTGCAAGGGTAAGAAAGGGTGGTGGAGGAAAGATGAGCACCAGAGAGACAGAGGCTAATATTTAAACCAAGAAGTTGATGACGATTTCTTATCTTTCAAGTATTAGATTGTTTGTCCTAGAAATTTCTACCTCTGTTTCCTGACCATGAAATCAAAATTAAGTAACTTTAGTGATTAAGTGATTTTTGCTAAAGATTTTCCCAAMAATTATTTGTATTCCAGGAGGTGGAAAGACAAGGCATTAGAATTCCATTAGAAACAATTTATCCTTCAAGTCCTTATTACTCTAAACAAGTACAAACACAGGCATTTTTCACCTGAAGTCTCAGCAAATGTTCTGTTTGTTCAGTTAAGGTGTACACTTTCTTTGGAAATTTAGGTAAGAGGTTTACAAACCATTCATTTAGTTTGATGTGCCTGTGTGCAAGACAGAGTACAATTTTGGGCAGGGATTTTTGAACCCAAAGTAAATTGTTTCCTCAGCAACTGCATTCCTTAGAAACAGAAAACTTGCCAAAATAGGTCTTTGCACTGGCAAATAACTGCAGCTCCGTGAAAGCCTGCGAGTCTGCAGGGCACTGCTGAAGCATTTCAATCGCACTTCGAAAACAAACCTCAAAAAGCCAGAAACTACTGGCTCTTCCATCTGTGTTCGGCCAGCAACTCTTTAAATGATTTCCAGGAGAAAAGATCTGGCTTTTTTCTGTCCCAAGGCCCTTCTGAATACCTGGATTCCTCAAGATGGAAACACGGCTCTGTTACCTTACATAGATACGCGTTTCCCCTGAACTACCCCGACCATCGCCCCTATCTGCTGTCACCGTCATCTCCCTTCCCCTCACGCTCTCCCCCTACATCGCCAAAGCAGCCCCTGCGCGGCGAGAAGCGGCTGGGGCCGYTCGTCCGGGGCGGACACAAGCCCTTCCCACCCTTTCTTTTGGCTGTTTCCTCCTCACGTTGGAAGCCCCGCTGGCCACACGGCCCCCTCCTCGGAGCACGGCGATGGGCGGCGGGGCGGGCCCGGGTTCCCTACCACCACCTCCGCGGGCGGBCGGGGGGCGGGCGAGGGCGGGCGAGGGGCGGGTTAAAAGCGGCGGCAGGTGAACGGGGTGGGACCTTAAAGCCCTGGGGCGGCGAGGCTGGAGCTGCCGGCACTGGCGGAGCCACGTTGATCGGCGCAGCAGCCCGGCCGCAGTGCCGGGAGCTGCCGGCGGGGTGAGCGCCCCCCGCAGCGGTGGGCGCCGCTGAGGCAGGTGAGGGGCGCGGGGGGCGGGCGGAAGGAAGGAAGGAAGGAGGAAAGAAAGAGAGAAAGAAAGAAAGAAAGAAAGAAAGAAAAAGAAAGCAAGGAAGGAAGGAAGGAAAGGGCGCGACGGGGCAGGTGCCCCCGGGCAGCCGAGGCCTCACTTGTTGCGCTCCATCGCGGGGCCGGGGCCGCGGCAGCGGAGCAGGGAGCTCTGGCGGCGCTGCCCACCTGGGAGCGAGCGGAGCCGAGCGCGGAGCCGCTGTGTGCGCTGCCCACTCTGCCCCGCAGGATTTACCCTGCTCRGCATGGGCGCTCTCCGCTTCCCGTCCCTAGCCTGAGCGTCACGGG